ATGTAAAAAATGCATTACAAAATCCTGTGACTACTTATGGCTGGAGGAATTTTAGATTCTTTCATTTTTGTTTTTGAGATAAAGTCTCTCTCTGTTGTCCAGGGTGGAGTGCAGTGGTGTGATCATGGCTCACTGCAGCCTCGACCTCCCAGACTCAGGTGATACTCCCACCTCAGCTTTTCAAGAAACTGGGACCATGGGCATGTACCATCACGACCAGCTAATTTGTTTATTTAATTAAATTATTTGAGACAGGGTCTTACCCTATTGCCCAGGCTAGAGTGCAGTGGTTTGATCTTGGTTCACTGCAACCTCCATTTCCCAAAAGGTTGGGACCATAGGCACATGCCACCATGCCCAGCTAGTTATTTTTTAAAGACAGGGACTCACTGTTGCCCAGGCTGATATCAAACCGCTGGGCTCAAGTGATCCTTCTGCCTTGCCTCCCAAAGCGCTGGGATTACAGGTGTGAACCACCACAGCCAGCCTAGATTTACTTCTTATTTACACTTTTCTGTATAAGTATTCCATAAGGAGCATATGTCACTTTTATAAAGACAAAAATTCAAGAGAAACACAAAAAGACTGGCCTGGCAAGGGCAAAAGTGAAAAATGACAAGGATTAAAATACAGGTAATTTAGCCAGGAGCAGTGGCTCATGCCCGTAATGTCAGCAGTCTGAGAGGCCAAGGCAGGAGGATCACCTGAGCCCAGGAGGTCAAGGCTGCAGTGAACCGTGATACTGCCACTGCACTCCAGCCTGGATGACAGAGTAAGACCCTGTCACACCACACACAAAGAATCAACAAGGGGTAAAATACTACCTACTGCTTACTATTTAACCCATAACTCAGATTCCTCATCTGTAACATGAAGATAATAATAGTATCTGCCTCACAGAGTTGTTTTAAGGATTAACTGAGTTAGAACATGTAAAATGCTAGTTATGATCCCCAATATGAGAAATAACTCAGCAAGTGCTAGCTATTATTAAGACTAAGATACAGGCTAGGCAGGTTGGCTCAGGTCTCTAATCCCAACACTCTAGGAGGCCAAGGTGGGAAAGTAAGAGGCCAAGAGTTTGACACTACTCTGGGCAACATAGTGACACCTTGTCTCAGAAAAAAGGAAGAAGAAAACAATTCCCATTATACAGTATTTCATGGTACAACATGAAAAACTAGATGTTACAGGGAATTTAACAATGTATGTTA